TGCCTCACATCACACATTTATGAAGTCAAAAGGATGGTGTCAAAGCCCAGGTGTCCCGGTCCTATTTGAGTGCTCCTGAGTGATTTAATCTGAGGTTAGATTCCAATCTTGGCCCTATTACGTGTGCACTGTATGATTTTAGCAAGTATTAACCTCTCCATTTTACCTGTCATATTTAGGAAGAGGGAGTGATCCAAAGACTTACGAATCTTCCTGTGAGGACTGAATTAAGTGGTGCTACTAATTTTTAAATGTATTTTATTGGTAGTGATAGATGAAGGTACTGTGATTACTTACCACAGGGTGAGCCTAGAAACACTGAGTGTGATCTAAATCAGGGATCAGTAAACAATGGTCCATTAGTCAATTTTGGAGTTTGGCTGTTTTTGTAAATAAAGTACTATTGGAACACAGCTACACCTGCTCGTTTAGGCACTATCTTTGGCTGCTTTCTTCTGTCTGACTACAGAGTAGTTGCAATAGATTGTATGGGGCATAAATAATAAGTAATACAGAGGTGGACAACTGCTGGTCTAGATGATCAGTGCATTTGTCTTGCATCTACTACTCCAATACTGAAAACCATGATGTAATCTTCAAATCTAGCCTGACTTCTCTCATAACCCCCAGGGGTCATATCCAGCAGCCGACTGATATTTCTACTTGGGAATCTTATGGACATCTCAAGCTCAATTGGTCCTAAAGTGAACTTGCCATCTTACTGCTCGACCAAGCTGCTCCGTGTTGTGTAGCACAGAGACTGGCACCACCTGGTACCCTGTGTCAGGAAACTGAGTGTCGTTCACACATCCTGTTCTTTACTTCTCATGCTCCTTCAGTTTTAACTTCCTGCCAAGGGCATCCTCTACCTATCTCTTAGCTCCAAGCCCACTTCTCCATCCTGGCAGCCACTGCCTGCATCTAGACTCTGGCCACATTCCGCAGGAAGCCCTCCAGCAGTTTTCTAGCTGGAAGATCCCAAAGTGTCTCTTTCTGAAGGTCTGAGGAAGTGGGACACCATTCTCCCCAAAATCTTAGGTTGGATTTGCCTCTGAATTCTATAACCCTGAGATAGTCAGGTTTTATGTATTTATTTGTTGAATCTTTATTTTAGGCTCTGTTTTTCGGTAATCCCCAAATGCATGTATTTTACTTGCAAAGTTTACAAACCACTCTCATATTCATGTGACTCGTGGACAGCTAGGAATGGGAGCTGGGAAAATTAGCTGTGCTTTGCCACACAATGGAGCAATGCTTACCTAAGGTCACCTGCTTCGGATTCATGTTCATATACAAGTCCCCCAACGCTGTGTGTTTCTTTTTTCCCCCTTTTAAAAAAAGAATCCCCCTTCCAAAGCATCTGAGGTTCAGCTTTCTTTCCCCCTGAACACTAGAACTTCTACCAGGTAATGTTTTATATGTCTTGGGTTTCCACTATGAAGATCAGTATTTAAAAAATGACAGCGACTTATTATTTATGGCAATATGTATTGTTACAAAGGGAGACAGACTGAACAATTCCCATTGTACAGATGCTACTTGGACTTGACAGCTGGCAAAGTCAGATAGGCAGTTTATTTACTTATCCATTTAGCCAAATAAATGTTTTCATTTTTCTTTCATCTCCTCAAAGGCTAACATTTTGCCTTTAAAATTGCTCCAGCAACACATCAGTGAAGTATAAATTACCTGCCATTCCCACACCAGCCTTTATAATATTATTTTGGTTCTCTTCTGCCCAGGTTGACTCGGTCTTTCAAAGACATGTGACTCTCCCAGATGGGAAGGTAGAGGAGAAAAAGAGAAATAATTGAAGATATTTTCCTTTATTGCTAAAATAGAACTAAAGCTTCCATCTTCAGGGAGTGGGTCTGCCTGTTTACTCTTAATCTGGTGGGATGTGGCTTTAACTTATCAACAGATGTCATCCCCATGTATTCAGACTGTATGGCTAACTCTAATGAAAAAGCAGCTGGAGAGAATGGTTGCAAGGGTGATAAGAAGGCTGAGCTCCTGCTTTCCCACTGTAGAAAGGCAGAGGGGAACATAAAACCTTGGACATAACTATCTCTGCATGGAATCCCTTTGCCAAATGTCCAGAAAGGAGTAAAACATGGCAGTCGGTAAATGTCTAGTTGGGTGGGTAAGTGTTGGGGTTGGAGAGGAAAAGACCACATGAGCCTCATGCTCCTCTTGGCAGAGGGCCCTAGAAAGTCTCAGGATGGCTTCACGTGTGGGTGCTGCAGAACATCTGTCAGAAGGCAGTCATCAGCCTCCCAGCATCCAATTCTTGATAAGGAATTATAAATTGGCCACGCTAAGCTTACAAAGGGAAGAACTGCCTCATCAAAGATTACAGACTGGCCTTCCACCAGAGCTAGAAGTGACTTCTGATTTACATGGGACTCTAAGGCTTCACAATTTTTGAAAGTGATAAGGCTCGAACTGGGATCATTCTGATTATGTGATGAGGGAAACCAGTGAGCTATCAAGCAGGCTCCCTTCAACTCATGCTGCTTTGAGGAAACAGTTAACTGAGTTAATTGTCAGGAGAGAGAACATATCTAGCAAAACCTCCCAGGCAATGGGTATATCCAACATAAGGGCTAAAGGTACACAGTTCAAGATAGTAGAGAACCAACATTCATTAAACACATGATAGTAATGATTGTGGCGGGGTGAGGATGATGATGGTGATGGGGAAGGTGCTGGCTTGATCACGATGATGATGCTTGATGTGGGAATGGTGACGATGTAATTGATGATGGTGGTGGGAATGGTGGCGGAGATTACCATGGGAGCTAACAACTGTGGGATGCTTTCTAGGTGTGGGGCACTGTACTAAGAACTCCACATACACTGCCTCATTAGATCACACAGCAACAACCCCATGAGGTGAACATTATTTTTATCTCTATGAAGAAAACAAGACTAGAGACTGATTATGAAATCTCGGCAGGGTCACAGAGCCAAGAAGTGGTGAAGCCGGATTCTGACCTTAGAAAATATTACCTGAGAACCCAGAGGATTCAGTGTCTATCTCCAGGCTAGAGACTGAAGATATGCTATCTCAATTTATGTCATGGGTAATATAAGCCTCCTCTAGCAGAGGAAGTAACTAAGACTCAAAAGAAATAATGGCTCTTGCCCAAGATTTCTCACTATTAAGTAGCTGAGCTAGCATTTTAACTCAAATTCCAAATCCTGAGGTCCTGCCACTGTACCATGCTATGTCCATTTACACCTCAGCCGTGGCTTGGCATGCTCGATGGAGCATTGAAAATGGAACACACCAATGCCCCGTGAAACAGTATAGCTTGTGTAATTGTTTCAAGCTGAAGAGGCTCATGAAGATAAAGATTTGATACACTGATCTGCAAAGGGTGTAAGTCATCTTTGTTTTCTAGAAGAACTTCAATTTTAGGATGATGTTTGCTGTAATCCTGATGAATAGCTCTTGTCACCTCTAGTTCCGTCATCAAATTTTTCAAGACAAGGTTGAGCACATGAAGTACAACATTCGCAAAGAGTAGATAGCCTCTTAGGGATTCAGCCTCAGGAGTCTACCCATAATCCCCAACTTTCCTCTTTCCTGGAGCATTGACTTTGCCTTTAACAGACCAGCTCCCAAAATAGTTTTGCAAGACTGAATTTATAAATGGCCGTAACAGGGTTTTTCATGGCATGATGTAGTATTATGTGCTGTTGTCCTGATGTAAAGTGAGGCAAAATACACAGTATGTTAAGCTCTTTAATCATAAAATCTATGGGCAAAATCCACTTTCAAAACACTGTATTACTTTTCAATAACTGTCACAATAAGTTATGTATGGATGGAGAGTGATTCTGAGGTAGCCTCAGAATCCATTTAGGAATGGTGAAAACTGTTTACCATTTTAATGGCTCTGATCATATGCTCAGGACTAAAAAAAGGAGCTCTCTGGGTATGGCCTTGCAGTCCTATATGTTTATGGAAAACTAGGAAGATATCTGAAAATTGAATACATTTGTCAAGGAGTGACCTCAGAAATCATGTCTGGGTGATAAGGTGTACTTCTCTCTCCTGAGAAGGTTCACTCTATCAGCTCCTCTTTCTTTCAATCCAATCAGAGGTATTGAAATTCAAGTGCTAAAAGCCACTTCTAGTAAATGTAAGTACAGCTCTCTCCAAGTAGCTGCTGATGGAATCTGAAGTGACTTGGTGGCAAACCACATGCTAAAGCACAGGTGCGAACAGCAGAGCCTCAGAAGTGACAGCCACACATCACTGGGCTTTGCATTGCACTTTCCCATCGGGTAGGGGTGCAGGCCCCTTTCTGGCTAGATGAAAAGGGCTACCACGATCTTACATCTCAATCAATCTTATTTCAAGCACTGCTTGGTTTTGGATCATAGTCTGGCTTCTCAGTGTGTTTGATTGGTGACCTCTTTAGATCTGTGGCATGTAGGCAAATGCAGTGACATTCTGTGTAGAAGATTAAAGCATCTGGACCACAGCTCACTGAAAAATTATCAGGCTGAGCAGAACGAGCCCATTTCAGAGTGATGCTGCTTTCAGAAACTTAATCCACACTGAGTAGTGTTGGCTGTGCATCATTCTGGCACTACTGCCTGGTCAGAACATATCATTAATAAAATATGACTATTTCCCACTTTTCCCCCCAACCCTATGGCCTTGTATATGTCAAAGGTCATTCATCGAAGAGGAAAAGCAGAGTGGGAAGGAGAAACCAGGCAAGGAAAGATGGTCCACACACTGGCAATACAGCTCAGGCAAGCAGACATGGCATAGACATTAAGTGTGTAGCTCAGGCAAGGAGACACAGTGCAAATACTGGTGATATAGCATAGGCAAGGACTTACGGTGCCAACATCAGGAATAGAGCTCAGACAAGGACAGAGGGTGCAAACATCAGAAATATGACTTCAGAAATCAAGGACAAGCAGAAGCAAAAGCAGTGAACTTCAGGGTAAAGGAGATAAAAAGGACAGATACCTACCCAGACCTGTGCTATCTAGCTACCGGCCTGTGGACTTATATTATCACCACTGGGCTCCCCAGTGGGCTCCCCAAATGGCTCACTGGTGGAGGAGGCCTGTGATCCATCAGGCTAGAACACAAGAAGATAATACTTTTTTTTTCTTTTCAACAACTGAAAATATAAGACAACTAGGAACATTTTCATGCAACACATACAGTCAGTTATCTTAAAGGGGTGCAACTTTAGTCAGAGGATGCCACCCCACAAATGCAAGAGCCTGTATCAATTTAACAAAAGGACAGCCTTTTCTGGCTCACTCATTTGAACATGAAACAAAGCCTGTTTAGCATTTTCTTCTATGTAGGCTTCTACAGGCAGAGTCCATTTCAGAAAGGGAAGTTTTAATTTTAAGAAAAATAAATAAAACACCAATAACAGAACAGAAAGAACAAAGCAGTCACTTACAGCTTCTTGTTCTTCACTTTTGCTGGGACTTTCAAAGCCCTCTTCGAAGAGGTCATCTGCGGCCGGATCGCTGGCATGAGATGCAGAGGATTTGGATGGAGAGCTCTGCCTAGGGGCTGGGGTTGGAGCTACACAGAAACCATACAAATACAGGAAACATCCTAAGTGCCTGGAACAACCATTAGATCCCACAGAAACCCCAGGGATTTGCTTATGCAGTGGTACCTCATTTCACAAACTTGAGTTTTTCCACAATTCTGGTTGCAAACCAGATTGGATGAGAACTGAATCAAATTTGATTGTTAGGTTCAATGTTGACCTTATGGGGAAATTTGATTGGCTTGTCTTCCAGTTCAGTTTACGACCAGCATCGTGGAGAGCCTTGAGTTTGTGTACTGAGGTAGCACTGTATGTGGATCAAAACACAGGGCCCTCTTCCTCATCCCAAGTGAATCAGCTAAACGTGTGAATTCTCCTTCTGTACATGTTTATCTTGTCCTCTCACAACCTGACCATAAGCAAGGTTCTTGCTCACACTGGTGGCCAAAGCAGCTATTGGGAAGGGATGCTCCCTGGACCAGTGGCAGGAGCATCATCTGGGAGCTTGTTGGATGTCAATTCTTGAGCCCTCCCCAGCTGTACTGGATCAGAAACCCTGTGTATTAACAAACCCCCTCCCTGTAGGTGACTGTGATATGTGCACAATTTGAGAACCACTGGGTCATGGTTTGCTTTCTGCTCTCTGCCTTTCATCAGAGAGGACATTCACTGAGTGCCTTTTGTGTGTAAGATATTGTTTAAAATTCTACACACAGTGTCCCCGATCCCCACAGAGCTTCTTGCAGCTGGGAGTTAACCCAGTCTTATAGATAAGGAAAGTGAAGGTTGCTAATTTGTCCCTGGAAACTGGCAGGACAAGGCCTCAAATCTTGGCATATAGTAAATAATCAATAAACATGTGCGGCACAAAGGGAACCTGGGAGACCCGGAAGTGGTCTCCCAGATGGGTGTGGCTGATAATGTCACAGTTGGTGCTTTATAAGACTCCACAGTTGCTGTACTGATTCCCACATTTCCCTCTTCTCATTTGGTCCAGAGGTTTATAACAAATATTCCACTGGAAACTGCTCTTTTGTAATTTCTCATTTGGCACAGAAAATAGCAGTCACTGGCTTAGTGTCAAGGGAAGAGATGATAAGGGAAGATATGGCTTCATTTAGTAGATGAATATCAAGGCCACTGATAAAGGCTCCCTGCTGTAATATTCTAGAACTTAAAAATCTGGCAGCCTATCAGACAGTGAATGATTGTAAAACTTATTGTGCATCTTTTTGCCCCAATGAACCTATATTTTAAATAATGATGCTATTTCAAAACCTGATTATTTGTAATGTGCTAACAAGCCAGTCACAGGGGTGGCAGTTCCCATCCATTAATCTCCCCAGCAACAACAATTCCAGGTGTTGTTCCCCGCCCCGAGATGTTAGCAACTGCAGCTCAAACAGGTGTGGGGCCTTGCTCAGGATTATCCAGCTATGAAACAGCAGCCCTGGAGTATAACAGAGAACCCTGTGACACTATTCAGTCCGGCTATGCCTTTCTGATTCTATTCGAGGTTCACTTTTGATCCAACCAAGTCTTCACTGAAAACATTCTGAAGGGGTTTCTGGTAGAGAAGAGAATATAAAGACTGGTTTTACTCATTTTCTTTAAAAAATAAAACATTGTTATTTTTCTTTGAAAGGAAGTGTGTTGTGTTTCATGAGATGACTTTGGAACAAACAAGTTATAATAGGGTTAAAGGTATATAAAACTCCATGATAGGTAGTAGATGTTAAATAAATATTACCTTAATTGGATCCTGAATTGTGTTTGAAGTGGTTTATTGTTTACTAAACACTGAGAACCTAGGGTCTGCTGCCAATTCTGACAGGTATATTGCTTATACTTACCCAATGAAATCAATGGGAAACATAATTCAGAGTTTATTTATGCAAGTGTTAATCTTTAGAAGGTTTAATAGAATACCTCTGTGCTCTACAATAGTGGTTCTCAATCTGGGGCGATTTCACCTCTAGGGGACATTTGATAATGTCTGGAGTCATTTTTAACTGTCATTACTAGAGGAAAGGGATGAATGTCACCTGGATCTACTGAGTAGAGGGTAGGACTGCCACAAGATGTCCTAGGATGCACAGGACAGCCTTCCATAGCAAAGGATTACTGGTCCAAGTTGTCAATGGTGCTGAGGTGGCAAATCCTGCTCTGAAGCTCAGCCATAGCTAAATGGCCTTTGTTTGGGTCATTTCATTCTCTACAACATTTCCTATTCTGCTATCATTACGCAGAGTGTGGAAGGATGAAGATATATTCCCTGTCCTTAAGAGCTTAAGCTTATCTTTGTTGCTCGCAGCTGGCACACAAGTCCATGAACAGAGAGACATTTGTTTTTAAAAGATGCTCGCACATTTGTGCATGGCTGTTATTTCTTTAGCATTTCATATTTTATTCATTATTCCTCATTGAAACTCTATGAGTTCGAGTTAATAGAGATGCCCCCCACTAGGTAGAAACCATGGCCTGAGTGCAAGAGGGCTGTTTATACACATCAAAGGCTTTAATTTTCAGAACAGCATTCTGCACCTGGCTGAAATAACACAGCCTAATTGTATTAACATTACACTTTTCTTGACAGTTCACTGTTGGCCACGCAGTGATCCGTAGCCCCAGTGACAGTAATGAAAGCACCAAACTCATTGTACCATGAGCCTTTTCTATTCCTTTATCAACTGTCAAGGTACAGGCTGAGTCACCAGAACACCTTTCCTGAAGTGTGTCGAACAATCACATGAATGCCTGAGTGTATCTGGATTCTGATTTGGCTGCGTAGTTACTGTTTTCTTGATATAGAGAAGGCACGTGGGATAGAATCACTGACTGTGGAAAGCAGAAGGGGACACACTGTCATCCAAGCCAATTCCCTACACTTCAGAAAAGCCATGTGCTTGCCAAAGACATGGCCAGCCGTAGAGGACCTGTACCAGGATCTTTGGTCCAGCGCTCTACACCAAAACCCTTCACGTAGGATGACAATACTTCCAGTGTTGTGAGGTACACGGTTTTTAGTACAGGCATTAAATCCTTTTAATAACCCATAGCCTTAATCAGAGGAGGAACAGGAGGCTCAGAAAAATGAAACTACATGTCCAAGGCATAAAACTAGTGGGGAAAAAAGATTCTGCCTGGTCCTCAGTTGAGAGCTTCCTGCATCCCAGTCTTTCCTTCTCTGTGATTCCCAGAAGTTTTGTGTGAAATCTGATGTTAACTATTATAGGTAGACAAGACATTTTAGCTGTTACAACTCTGCTTTCAACGTTCTCTCTGATCTTCTTTTCTAGTTTAATGTCTACATCCTGTTCCTAAATTCTAAAACTATTTCTATTTTCCACCCATTTTCTTTTCTATAAGCCAGGCCCAAATTTGTGTTTCATAAACTAGGATATACATAAATGAACAAAGGAGCAAAGTAATGAAATCCTAGGAGGCAGGAAATGGTGAATTGTATTCAATTCCATCACCTCATCTGTTATGTTTGCCTCTGAACCTCACCGTGACTACCTATCAGTCTGTCAAACAGGTCTACCAAAGCTCTGCTTCAGCATCGTTATGGATGTAAAAGCCCCTCTGAGCACATGGAGAGGTTTGTGGGCTCTACCTGGCCCCTGGGTTGGTGGCTCTTGACTTTTAGGAGCCCAAAGAGGGCGAGTGAGATGAGTTCTTGCACCCAGACATCCAATCTCCCCCAGAAACCGGCATAGTTCTCATTGGGTTGTACGTCAAAGGCAAAGGGCACTCACGTGAGTTGGTCGATGGCGTGGTAGAAGTCACAGGGGTCAAATTCAACTGGGAGATGTCGAAGTCGTCACAGTCATCGGTGTCCTGTGCCACCCCGACTTTGTTGAAGTAAGTGGAGAAGGCCTCTGAGGTACAGGTGAGGGAGGGCTGGTCGGGTTTGCGGGAGGGCACGGGCGGAGGCTGGGCCATCTGGAAATCCTTAAACATCTCTTTCCCCATTTTCTGCCTGGAGTTGTCGGTCTGTGGACTTGACCTGCTGGAGTCACTTGTGCCTGGGACTGTGGCAAGGGGGGTGAGGGGACCTTGGAACATGGCAGCTGGCAAAGGCATAACAGTTTGTGTGGGCATGAAGGCGGCTGGAGGAAACTGCCCAGCCACAGTTTGCCAGGGTTGCTGGGTGGCAGGAAAGAGACTCGGCTGGCCCCATGCGATGGGCTGAGCCCCCGGCATCACCTGAGCAACTGGTGGCTGAGCACCCATGGCGATCTGCTGTTGGACGAGGGGCTGCTGGCCCCAGAAGGATGGGAGGACGGCGCCCATTGCAACATAACCTGGAAGGACAGAAAGGAGGTCAGGCACAAGCTCCAGAACTGACAGATGTATCCCTCACCCTCTGAGTGCCATCCTGGGTGCCAGGGACCACAGGGAGCTATCCCGGAGCCATTTCTCCGGAGAGGTGGCTGGGGAGACCTCTCTAGAGAGACAGTTGCTACACAGAAACTAGAATACAGGGAGGGGACAAGCCATGCAGCTGTGCAGGGGATAAGACAAACATTTCTGGAGCAGTTAAAAGATCCCTACCTCTCACAGCCTTAGGAGTCAGTGTGTCTGAGTAGCAGAGAAAGGAAAGGAAAGCAGGCATGGCCAGCCTTTCACCTTGCCTCTCAGTTTCTTACACACTCTGAAAGTCAGTCTTGGTGTTGAAAAGCCAGGTTATAAAATCTTCCTTTCAGCATCGAGGCAATGTGCACAGTGAAAATGGACTGGAACGGTGGAACTTGCAAGGCTTCGGTTAAAATTCAGACAGCTCTCCCTTATCTACTCAATTTAAAAAGTGTGTTTTAACTCCCACATGATCTTATCTGTAAAGGAGGCCTCAGATGCCTCCTGTCTCACTGCCCTGGTCTGCAGATTGAGGTTACACATTCAAGGTGTGCACCTAACACCAGTGAGAAGGCCACCTTGCTTGGTGTATAGCAGACATGCACCAAGGTACAGGTATAGATATTATGGTACATTATTCCTCTATTATTATTTTTTAGAGGATTAAAACCATGAAAGTTATTGTCTATTCAGGAGTACTTTATATAGTGGCACAGGCTGGGCACTGCAAAATTCCAAGGCATGTACTATATCCTCATATATTATCATGATAATTGTTTGCTGTATTATAGCTTTTAACAGGAGCACAAGTGACATTTGTTACAATATTAATAGTAAGAGCAATAACTTTGACTTACTAAATGCCTACAGCATCCCAGTATACTGTTTAACATCTTCACAAAGTTCCTGAATAGTAGGTATTATCTCCATTTTAGGGATGAAGAAATGGGTGCTCAGAGTGGAAAAGCAGCTTGCTTACAGTCACACAGCCTGCATGTGGTAGGATCAGGATCTAAGGCTGAGGTGCTTTGTCCCTCAAGCCTACCAGTTTCACCCACATGGCCAAGACTAATTTCTGCTCATTTATAGCCAACGGACTTGGCTCATCAAGGTATATTTCAGCACAATGCAGGTTCACAGGAAACTGCCATGTGCTTTTGGTGGTGCCATGCTTCACAGGGGGAATAACGGCCTCCTACATGGGCAGTGGAGCCTGGAAGACAAGTGGTCAATCAGGCAGAGTGAGGGTACAGAAGTCAGCTTCACCTGGCCTCTCAACACAAGGATTCGCATGTTTGCCAGGAGGACTTTGCAGGTGCAGTGAGACAGGACAGGGAGAGGAGCGGACGCAGGTTATCCTAGCAACCTCCAAAGGGATGCTGGATGGGTGATGCGGTGCTAGTCACCTCCTGGGTCATGTCAGAGACTCTGGCAAGGCCCAAGAAATTGTGCACAGGGTGCCTCACACCACAGGCCAGCCTCAGACCCAGCTTCCCCTCAACTGACAGATACCGGATCAGGTCAGCATTCAAACCCTGGGCACTTCCTGGCAAGGAATCCATTCTGCCCTGCACAACATGTCACCCTGTGAGGAGGATCCACAGCAATCAGGACACATGAACTTCTTGCTGGCTAATGTAGCAGTGTTAAATGCTTTTATGGAATAAGAAAGAGAGATCAACAAATAAAATACAAAATATCCTTGTAAGATCATTTAGTCCAACTGCACTGAAGCAAGTGGGGTGGAGAGGTGTGGGTGATGACATTCCAAAGTTGAAACTCGCTTGCTTACACTGCCTCACCTATCGCATGGTGATGCAGTGTCTGGAATCCACTAACGGATGAAGAGTTTTGCCCCTTTGTTTTTTCTTGCTTTCTGTTTTACTTTGCTGCAATTATTCACAACGGGCGTGTTGCTGCCCCCTAGGGGTAATTAGGAAATTTGCAGGGTGTGCTCTGATTGTCCTGGTAACCGGAGGGTAGGATGGGCATTACTGGCATTTTAAGGGGTTCCCAGCATGGATAGTAGACAACTTATAATGTGGGAGATGATCGCAAATAACAAAGCATTATCCCACATCCTGGTCAAGATTATTTGAGTCTAGGACTTGGATTACATGGACATTTAGTTTCTTCCAACGGTTCTAGTATTTCAGGAATGTAACAAGTGTGTATATTGAGAGAAGATTATATTTTGTTTTGTTTGGAACACTACAGTTTTTCACCAAGGTAGTGGTGTCTGACAGAAACACCTCTCACGGGGCTGAACCCGCACACTTCTTTATCAGAAGTGTACTAGTAGCTGTAGCTTTCAGGGGTGAGCCTGATATAGGTATAAGCATCTGATTACTTACTATGTCTTGTACTATGCTCACACCCGAGTATTTCCTTATCAAAACACATTTTTATTATAAATCAGCATTCTTTTATTTCTACTTTATATTACCATTAGAACATTTATTAGAGATTTTTGAAAAACTATGTAGGTAAGTGCTATTACTACCTATGAATTTCATTGCAAGCCATTAAAGTTGACACTGCAAATGGGTTTCACAGATGGAGACCTACCCATGGGTCTTTCAATGGCCCCAATGCCATTTTGCTGAGTGGGTAGGCAACTTCAGTTTTACCCAGCCTATTTTAGTTCTGCTTCTATCCTATCTCTTTCATTATCACCATGGACTGTTCTAAAACACAAATACAGGTGCTCCTTGCTGTCTGATAGGGTCACACCCCCCCCCCCCAGCCCATGTAAGCTGCAAATATTGTTAAGCTGAGGATTCACTTAATCTAACAAACATCCTAGCTCATCCCACAGCACACAGCAGCTTGTCTGTTGTCTCCATCCCCGATTCCATGGCTTATTGGCCATCCCGTCTCCCTGTGGCTGCCAGCATCAGGTGAGAGTATCATACTGCATGGCGTTAGCCTGGGAAAAGATCACAATTCAAAATTCAAAGTGCATCTTCTATTAAATGTGCACTGCTTTCTCACCATTGCAAAGTTGAAAAATCTGAAGTGGAACCACTGTCAGGTAGGTCAGGGACCATCTGCATGGCACTTTGCTGTCTTGAGCACAGGGCTCACATGCTTGGGTGTAGCCAATGAACCCTTGGCAGTCAGCTCCCTCCTACTTCTTCATCACCACTTTCAAGCTGTACCTGTCTAGCCCCTCTCCCCAGCAGCTGAGGATACCACCCACCTGCTGTCCCCATGTCCTTTGCCAGGCTGTTGCTGTCCTCCTCCCTTGGCTGACCCAGGCAGGCTCGGCTCACCATCCCCTCTGCCCGAAGCCTTTGCTGCCCTTGGCATGCACTTGGTTCTCCTCTGGGCTCCACAGTTCTGTGTGCTCCCCTCTCCTGTGAACTCATCACACAGTGCTGTGACTGCCTGATTATTCTGTCTTTCCTTGCAACACAAAAAGGACAAATGCTGGCAGTAACCCTTTATTTTCTCTCCCCATTCTGTGCACAATGTTTAGCAGATGTCAGTAGCCCCATGAATGCTTCAGTCTGGAGTAAGGGCCTCCCTCATGGCGAATGAGTCCTAGAGGAGTCCATGACTTCACTGCATTTCCCCAAGAGTATAACAAAATTCCAAGACACACAAGTGCTGGACCGTGCTGATCCTACTGTTGGTGGCAGTTTTTTTCTCTTCTTTTCATCCCTTCTTCTTCCTTTTTTTTTTTTTTTCAACAAGGATCTAACAGATGGTCTGTGCACACTTTTCTGGAGAGAGCTATTAGCATGTCTCTCTGGCTTCATGCCATCTGTTCAGACCACAGTACAATATTAAGAAGAGAAAAAGGTAGCACAGGGCAATTGGGTTCCATGTTTGGGGCTCACAGGTCTCTCCACTTTTCCTGGGGTGGGGTCCCTGCAGCCCACGGTGTCCCTAGGCCACATGGAGTTATATCTGCCCAAGGGGACAGTTCAGCAGCAGGACTATGGCAGCACTGCACTCAGGGAGTCACTTGCTGGCTGCCGCTGCAGCCACTTAACAACTTGTTAACCACTTACTTGTTAATGTGCAACAGCGGAGGGAGGAGGTGCCAAGGAGCATCTGTTTATGGCACGGAGTTCAGATCAATCATAAACCTCCTCGCTGTGAACTGAACGGGAACACCTGCATGACTGCCTTGCAGCTAGGTCTATAAAGTGTGGAAAATTGCAATTTATAACCAGGTGCTGGCAGCTAGGAACACCCACATTATTTGAGAAATGGAAAAAAAAGGCAGACTGAAATATAAGAAAAGCACGACTCCAACAGTCATAGAGAACTTGCATGGTATCTCTTATCTACTTTATTCGCTTAACTAATTCATGAATTCAAAAATACCCCCACCAGTGTCAGGCTCTGTTTTAGTCTCTGGAGATGCAGTGAAGTACACAGTAAAACTGAAATCCTTGCCTCAATTAAGTTATATTTTGGGGAAGCCAATCCTTGCAATAATCGTTTTAGTGTGTGTTCTCGTTACCTCTTTAATTTGCATTTGAGAAACCATAGCTCCATGAGGGGGACCCTTGCCACCACAGGGGCAGCAGAGCCAGTGTCCTGTGCACAGCACACATTGTGGTGTGCCTCCTGCGTACATGATGTTCGGCACTCTTTATCTGCTCTGCTTCCTGTGTGTGCAATCTTTAGCACAGCTCTAGGGGGCGGATTTCTGATCACCTCCATTTTTTCAAGTAAGTTCCTGGAAGCTCAGGAGGAGACTCAGTTGAGCACTGCAAAGCTGGTGAGGGGCAGGGCCTGTGTCCACACAAGCCCACTCCCCATACCACCCAGCTGACCTCTGCTGTGACCAGTCAGAAGACTGAAAACCTAAACTTTATTACACATATTACAATCCCAAGAATGTAAAGGAAAATTTTCTTCTACTTTAGAAATCAGAGTAACAACAACAATTGTATATTGCATCTCCAGTATCTACGATGTACCAGCAGTTTTCGGGGTGCTAATTTTATTTTCTCATTTAATTCTCATGATATTGTTGCAAGATAAGGGGTTTTTTTCAACCCAGTTATAAAGATGAAGAAATTCTGGCTCTGACAGCTTAACTAATTTGCCCAGGAGTCTAAAGCTTATTTAAAAAATGGCTGAGCCTGGCCAAGTACTTGTAATCCCAGCTACTTGGAAGACTAAGGGAGGACACTTGAGCCCAGAAGTTCAAGATCAGCATGGGCAACATTGTGAGAACCCATCAGGCAGAAAAAAGGCTGAGCAGGATTCAGAAGCAGCCCATCAGATCCAAAAAGTGTGCAGCAGGCAGCTCACTCACTGTGTGACAGAGCCCTATTCCCCGCCCATCTCACTACCACTGGCTGGACAATTAGCGACAGGGAGGTGGAGAAGCAACAGCTAAAGATTCTTAAGACCAGTTAAGGGAGGAAAGGGAGCAGGCAGATAATTTAACACCAACTGAAGCACAGTGTAAGCATTTCTTAAATACAGTATGAAAGCAAAAATATGTTAATTGAAATTAATTTTAGACTCCTGTTCTAAAAATTGAAATCAAGGAGGTAATCAATTTTTTTAACAACTAGAAGTAGCTGGATCATAGTTTGCAATGCGGCTGGGTAGGTAGCAAGACTAAAGTCCAGGTTTCCAAGTCCCTAAGATGGTACAGGCTGGGAAGAAGCAGAGTCGTGCTGGGTCACAGGGACAGATCCTCAGGGTGCTTCCAATGGGTGTCAGTGCCGGAAAAGACATGAACTTGCACCTAGCACTGATCTTCTTGGCTTGGCCTGGAATTTCCCTTCACCCTGATGCCTGTTCCCTACTTCCCTTCCAGTCGAGTGGCACCCCCTGATCTCAGGCTCCTTGACTGCTTGACTGGCACTCCAGGACTCCACTTCCTGCTCTGTTTCCTTTTGTCCGTATCACTCAACGTGTGCTAACATTATACAAGTTACTTATTGTAATTTCTTGTATCCCTGATAGGAGGTAAGCTCTCCATCTGTCATGTTTACCAACATGGCCCAAGCTGGCACATAGTGGGCACTCAGAGGATATGTATGGGATGAACACATCTGAAGTTGAGTGAGTTGGGTCCTAGAGTTCCCCCCCTCTGTCACAGAATCTTTACAGACAAATGACGGGGACAAAGCTTGGGTATTCCAAACACCAAGCTCAGGCATAGCAGGGTGGTCCATTTCTGATAGAAAATGTTGTTCTTATATTAAGTGATATACTGTGTTCTACTTCACTATTCCAAGGAGATTTTAATATCCTTTTGAGAGTAGGAAAATGAGTCATTACAGCCATGCCACTTCAGAGAGCAGTGAAAGAGATTCTATTGGGAAATTTAGTAATTAATAAATTTCTAGGCTACATGCAGATTCTAAACTGTGAGTCATACCCAGTCACTACCAGCCTCTGCTGCTTCTAAAAGTTCATAATGTTCAGAACAGGGTATGAATTTCTAATTTACTTCCAATAAAAGCAAGGTTTATATTTGGTTTCAAGAATTAGCTTCTGGGGCTGGGGATTTAGCTCAATGGTTTCACCACCTGCTGTGCAAGTGCAAGGACCCGAGTTTGATCCCTGGTACCAAAAAAAAAAAAAAGAAAAAAAAGAAGAATTAGCTTCTAACACTAATAATTAAAAGTAATTATTTGTAGAAGAAAAGTGCAAGAGGATTTTTATTCTAAAATATTCAAACTCTTATCTGCCATTTATGAGAATAAAGTCAAGAAAGAAAGATAAAGCCACAGATGTGAAGTATGTAGTTAAAGGAAAACATAAACTCCTCCAGTTTCCCATGGATATGAAGAACAGAACTAGGCCACCTTTGGTCATTTTCAAGTACAGTAGCCTGGCCACCCTGATTGCCTGACACCATAGAAACCAGGTATAATCCCTGGGATCCCACTTATTTGTAACTCACTTGGTTTTCTGTTCCTATAGATACTTTTACTCCGTTGTGAAAGTACTATATATGTTATAAAAATATGTGGGAAACCAAAGAAACGCTTTCTAATTGACTGAGTTCCATCTCCTTCCCAATTCACTGTTAGCAGTTGGCTCTTGTGCATTGGGTTCCCTGCTGCCTTGGACAGGAAACCACCCCTTCCTGAGTCAGCACTGAACAAAGAGGATCCCTTCTACCCATCAGGTCTCAGAGGGTGTGAAGTGAGCTGGCTCATCCCCTCTGCTGCTCACTGCTTCTCTCCCTCTGGCTGAAGTCGACAGACAGGAGGAAATGAGCTCGCACTAGTTTGCTTGACTCTGTGGGTACCATATTCCCCAACACAGTACATCTGAGTCCCTCGAGTCTTGAACTTTCTAAGTGAAAGATATGGCTGGATTTCAGCCAGTGCATATGAGAGCTTGGTATCTGACCTCCAAGTTGCCATCCACATGGCAGCTGCTCAGTGTCACTAAAGAGCTGCGAAGAGAATGTTGGCCCCACAGGTGTGTTTGGCCATGAACTTGCAGCTGTATCAGTCACTTCTTTCTCTTTCTTGCAGTGAGTGGAGGGCAATGCAAGGAAGGCTGGTGGAAGAGGGCTCACCTGAGGGTACAGCAGCAGTGCCAAAAGGTACAGAACTAAACACGTCTGCACTCGCCGGGAGTGTCTGGCATGAAGATGGGATAAAGGCATCACCTGGAGTTGCGGGTGTCTGCCAGAGAAAGAGAGAGAGAGAGAGAGAGAGAGGCAGAGGACATGTGAGACTGTAGTCATCATGGATTTGGGGGTGTTTGCAGGCCAACAAGTTACTCCACAGTATCTGCCTTTCACTCATGTGAACTGAGATGCACCCTCTCGAGACCTCAGCCGAGCCCAGTTCAGGACTTGTCACTTAATCCATGGTTAATAAACAGTTGATGAGTATAGGAAGGAATGAACCCCAGCATGGGGAGCCTTGGCTCATGTACCCTGGTGCCTCACAGAATCTTGCCTGAATCTTCACTTGCAAAAAGAGCTAAATATTTTTAAGAAGGCATTTAAACAACCACAGCCGCACAGCTCAAAATGGTGCTGTGCTTGCTGAGCCCTGCTGAAGTTTCACAGCTCTGCTGCATGCGCTGGGGAATGAACAGGGCAGGGTCGCAGACATGAAAGGGTCAGGACGCATATTTTGTGATGTTCACACCCTTTGACGGCAGGCTTCTGCCTGTAAAGCGTAAGGCTGCTCGATGCCACAATATCTCTGTTGGTTTTAAAATTTTCCCTTGGAATACACTGGGACAAGCAATTCATTCTGAAACCATGGCGATTAGACAAGTCCATTTTTAGACTAGTCGCTTGTGGGACGAACAGCATTGTTCTGAGCATTATGAAATACCCATTTGGGTGGTGCCTGGGTTCAGGGCCAGAAACACAGCCATGGGCTGCCATGCTAAGCACTTCTAAAGGCAGTCAGCAGGCTTCTCTCCCACCACGTGACCTCGGCTGAGTCAGGTGTACTGGGACTCCGTTTGCTCATCTGTACAATGCACAGGAGAAGGGAGGCTGCAAAGGCTCCTCCGACCTTCCCAGTCCCCCAGAGCCCCAAAGGTCTGCAATGATGCTTGGTTCCTGGGGTGGGGAGGATGAGGATGTCAGGGCTGTCCAGCTTCCCCAGGGACAGGGACACTGATGCTCTGGAGATCAGGTGCTGGCAGCAGGACAGCTGTGCCTGGCTTCCCTGGTGGCAGCTGTGGGCAGCAGGGTCTTGCGCCATCTGTCCTGAGTGCGGAGGATACAGCCCTTTCTCTGTGAGGCGCCTCTCGCCAATGAACCATAGCACCATCCTCGCATCTGCACAGTTGCGCAGTGACCAGATAAGCCGCCCCTCCTGGAAGCTTTTGCTGGTACAGCTGGGCTGAGAACTCTCCATCCACCTCCGGGGAGGGCTAGGGGGTGGGTTGCTTTTGAATGTACCCGGTACTAAAATTCAGTTTTGCTTGGGTTTCTTTTTTTCATTTTAAAATTAGGGCTTCCTGGAATCTCTGTCCTCGTGTGTAAGCTTTGGCTGAGATACCCCTGGCTGGGAATCCAGAGCTTCTTAAAAAGTACAGGGAGGCACAGGTCATGGTCTGCAAGGCTAAGAGTCAGGCTGGGTATGGAGAGAGAAACAAAGGACGAGAGAGGAAGGAAACAAGGAGAGAGGGAAGGGCAGACTGGGGCAGGGGAAGGTGCTGCCTCCCCTGGGCTGATGCCTGTGCCAAGCAGGACTTGGGGAGGGGCTGCCAAATCCCTCCTCATGCTGCCTTGCCTATTTTCCCAACTAGACCGTATGTTCCCTGCAGGCAGGAAATATATCTCACTCCTGTCTCTCTTCTCAGAGCCCAGCCAAAGCACATCCAGGTGATGTCCTATAATCCCTGAGTGCACGGTCTTATTTATTTCTCAAAACAGAAGCATGTATCATAAGTCCTGGTTTTTTGTTTTGTTTTGTTTGCAGACTAGTGATTGATCTCAGGGTCTTTGCACTAAGCTAAATCTCTAACCCTTTTAAACATTTTGAAACAGGGCCTCGCTAAGTTGCTGTTTCCCAGGCTGGGCTTGAACTTCTGATCCCTCTGCCTCAGCCCCCCCCCCCCCCGCCCCCGTTAACCCTTAGCAGGTCACTAGCTGATATGAGAGATGCAATCAAATGTTTTTCTCAAATATTATTACACGTATGGGGCACAAGCTCCAAAGCCACAAGTAGCCAGCTGTATGTTTGTACATGACTAATGTGAAACCATAATGTTTACGGCATTAGCACTGTTATGACATGTGTTTTGTAAGGATGTTTGATATTTGATAGTGTATTGTCTATCAGAGATACCATGAACTCTGGTAAACATTGTTGAATTTTTTTCTTTCATAATTTCTACATTATAACTGAAAAGAAATAAAAATCATGAATTTATAATATAATAAATAACAAATGATATAATATATAAATGACATAATATAATATAAATATATATTTAATAAATGCAATAATATAAGAAATGCAAATTTGCAGTGTTTTAATTATTTTCCCGCATTTCAGCACATAGTAGCAGTGATACACATGACCTGCACTCTAACGGGACTGCAGCCTCCTGAGGGTTAATAGCAGAGGAAATGGAGGCTCAGGATTGCTAATTCACTTGCCTAGGTCACAAGCTTGCAAGAGCCAGAGGTGAAATTCACCGGTAGCCCTCTAAGACCCAAAGACCAGACTCTTGTTCCTGTGTAGCCGAGAAAGGGCTGTGGGATCCCAGGATCATGCATACTTACGGGGGGAGAGGTTATATCAGGAGGGGTGGACATGTCCCCAAAAAGTTCTAATTGGGTCACAGCCTGAAAAGACAAAAACGATAACCATGTAACCAAGAACGCAGATGCAGCCCTAAAACAAAACAAGGACAAACCAGCATATTTCTCTTTCATGGTGACCATGTAAGCCTGATCTCATTACTACACCTCTCTTGATCCCGAAGGCAACACCACCATGTGGCCAGACCCAATTCTTGCTTCACTGCGTCTGGGTGTTTATCCAGGCTTGGTCAACACTGCCTATCAGCCCCTCTCATAAGGTACAAAGCGCCACTCTCCCTTGTTGGCTGTCCAATGCCCCCTTCTTGACTGTGTCTCTCTCGGGGGGACAGAGGGAGGAAGACAATTCATTCTTGGCTTTTCTTGCCTAAACGTGTCCACACAAATAAGATGCCTTCTGGTTGGAGGACAGCAAAAGATGACTTGATGTCACCTCCCAGCGAATGCTCCCGGTAATATAAGCCCTTGGAGGTAGAATTCATCACCCCCATTTTTTGCCGAGGAATAACATGATTCCCATAGATGTGACATCAAGGTCACCCAGGCCAGGGTTTGAATTTTCTGTATATAGACCTTGCAGTCAAATATGCAGCCCTGAAATAGTCTATCTTTGGGATAAAAAAATGTATTTGGAGGAAAAGAAAACATTTCATTTAATTCCAGGAAAGGCATCAAAACCAGCCCAGTGTACACACTATCAATCACTCCCAGAACTCCATCCCGGCAGACACTGTTTCATCTACCTTCCCATCCATCACAGGAGGGTCCAGGCAGGGCTAGCACAGCAGCCCAGAGTCCCCTTAAGACAGACTTAGAAATTAATCTGCATACACTTCTGGCTTCGGAGACCACAGAGAGTTCCTGGCCAGAACCCAGTGGGCCAACTTAATTACAGAAAGTATATAATCATATGCTCTGTGCAGACTGTTCCACTGAGGAAAAACTACCCTCCACCCAGCTTCAGCTTGTGAGCACTTCTACTGAGGATACTGAAAACTGGCCCTTCATAGATGGCACCCGGACAGTGTGACTGTCCTATTCTGCCCTATGGGTCCCCTGCACTCAGATTCTGCTCCGACCAGCATGCAGCTCTGTCTCTAGGATTCACACAAAGCAAGCAATGTTCTTTCCTCTTGACAAGCAAATGAGTCCACTCTGTCTGTCCACACTGCCCCTTCCTATCTACACAGCTCAGTGCCAGGGCTCCCCACCTGGATGACAGGGATGGTGATATCTGCTCTGTATATTCATTGACAACTTGCAGGCTGAGCATCCCTGATCTGAGTATCCAAAATCCCAAAGGCTCCAAAGTCCAAACACTTTTGACTTCCAATAAGATGCCACAAGCAGATATTTCTACACCTCATCCCACAGGAAGGGTCACAGTCAAAACACAGGTGCACTGAAGATGTTGAAAATCATCTCCAGGGTATGAGTTTAAGATGTATATGAAAAACATAAATTAATTCTGTTTAAATTTGGATTCTAACCCCAAGATATCCCATTATGTGTAGGTCAATATTTACAAAGCTGCAAAACATCCAAAATCTGAAACACTTGTGGTCCCAGGCATACCTGATAAGGGATGCTCAACCTCTAACTGGCTTTGAAGTTTGGCTAAGCCTGGTTATTAAGGCACAAAGGGCTCCTTTTCCTGAAAGCAATGAAGCTTAGCCTTGTAGGGCTCACTTTCCACTCTTCTACTTGAGCTTCCATTCTGCTAATACCACTTGGCACACAGGAGGGTCCTAGAAGGATTAACTTCCTTCCCAACAACATTTTCCATAAACCTTGGGCAGGTGTTAGGTGCTGAGCACTGTGCTGGTCACTGGGTGCTTAATAAATGGAAATGCCAAGTGTCAGCCTGCACAGAGCTCACCATCTTCTGGGGTCTATGATCCACAGATGCACATCACCTCAAGGTAGGTGGAAGGCAGGATGGCAGAGGTCTCTATGGGGCACTGTAGGGGCAGCTAGCAGGGGATCCAGCCAGCTCGGGTCAAAGAAGTTTAGTAAGAGTTTTCCAGAGAGAAAAGGCCAGATATGAATTCTGCAGGAGAGGCATAGTTGGCCAGGTGACAAAGATGAGCAGGGGTCTTCCAGGCAGATGAGACCATGTGAGCCAGGAACACCATGGGCAGGTGGGGTGTGACCAGTAAGAGGGAGGGAGGACAAGTGGACAGGGTAAGGTTGTGGCTGGACTGGGTGTGATTCCCAGTCCTCCTGTCACCTTTCCTGAACCACTCCCATCTCTCATGGTAACTGATCTGGCAGTGGCTGGGAGCGAGGTGGCAGCATACGGGGTGTACCCCCGGTTTGGATGGGCTGTGGGAGCTTGTCTTTGTGTCTTCCATTATTTGGTGAAGTGAGCTTGTCCTTTAGACGCCCTCCCAAATTCCTAACAGGATTAACTATTTTTACTGAATTCAAATGACACTTCTGGGTGGCCTTGTGATTGGAACTTGACATTTTTTAAATGGCCCACAACTATTTTCAGTGTTAGGAAAATATTAAAATGAAGTTAATAATTAAGTCACACAATTTACATTTCAAATGTGTTGCACTGGCGGCATACTTTTACTAACATTGTAAATATAATTTATTGGCTAATTTTCTCCTTAAGCACAACTTTTAAAATAACCTTCCTTCTTTGAGCTATCGGCTCTCCTCTTGCCTGATGATTTTCACTCAAGGATTAAACGAGAAAAAACACAGGGAGGCATAAAACACAGATTGTTATTTCATTCCACTGAGTTTGCTGTTTAAATAGAACCTTGAGTTAATTAAATTTTATAGAAAAGGGAGATTCTTTGGCCATAAAATTAAAAATAATCCGAATAACCAGGTATGATTGAGAATCTGGAATAGTATCTACTTTTAAAGCCTTCCTCCCCATGTGAACCCCATTCCTTTTATTTGTAACCTAATAAACCATGTTCTACCTGAAAATATTGTCCTAATTAATCATCTGTAAGGCCCCAAGAGAATAAAACTAAGAGTCCACATTTGTAAAATGCTTTGTGGCTTACAATACACTTGCATATATATTATCATCGGGTCTGACCCTCACTGCACGCCATACAGCCACCAACATGGTGCCATTGTCATTCTGTGTTTCACAGAGACTAACTGCAGCTGGGGTAAGGGATTTGCTGGTGGCAAGTCAGCTAAAAGAAGACAGGATGGACCTGCTCCATAGAGCAATTAGCACTGCTAATTTGTTTATCTGTCTGTTCCTTCACCAAACTTTAGTTAGCCTTGCTAAATGTTGGAAGCCCAGTTCTACAATCTCCTCCCCAAGAAGCCAGGGGTGCTAAAAGGTCTGCTATGATGCATACCTGCCAGAAGGTGTTTGGAATGTTGCCTCAAGATGTCTACTTGCCAGAAGAAAGCCCTTCCATCCCTGGCATTTCTAATGTCTTTTGGTGGGGAGAGATGTAGCTAGAAATGGCAGATTTGTCCCTTCTTTGGGCTGCTGGAGTAAGCAGAGTGACCCCAGAAGCTGCCAAGGCCAGTGCAGGCGAGAAGAAGCTGAAACTTCTGGGAAGAGGTGCCCCATATCTCCATTGGGTTGGCCTTGCCCAACTATGCTTTCATAGGAACAAGTGATAGTTCCCAGGAACATCTAAAGTGCCACACGACTGCTGTTTCTAGGTCCTTCTGAGAACTAGGCCACAACAACTAGACCTCTAATGGGAGATTCTGAGAGAATGGCTGTAAGAGACTGACCCCCAAGACCCCTTCTCACAGATCCACTCCTTATGTTTTTGCATCAGAAGCCCACAGAACCCTTGCCATACTTCAGCTACTATGCCAAGAGCAGGAAACAGCAGCAGGCATGACATGCTCCTATTCCCACTGTTGTGAGCTGGTGGGTTTCCAGAAAGACAGCCCTACAGAGATCCACCATACAGTGTCACGGAGAGGAGAACACGGTGGGTTAGGAAGGGAGAGGCTGTCCCAGGACCTTTGCATGGGCTCTCCTTCTTCCTAGAACTCTCCTTGCTTCCCTCTCCTTTCCCAATCCTCCTCCAGAAAACAATTAGAACACTTTTTTTTTTTCCTGGGCAGTGTTTCTCAACTGAATTTGTAGCCCACCCCATTGTCTAAAACAGCTTACCAGATACTTCCAGACCAGTGGTTCTCAGGCTTGTCTGGAGAAAAGTACTAATGCCTAGTCCTACCCCAGAGAGTCTGAATTACTTGGTATGAGGAAAAGCCCTAGTCCCTGGAATTTTAGAAAGCTCTCCTAGTGATTCCAAATTGCTGCCAATTTGAATGATCTCTGTCAATGATCTCTGTCCTGGAGGCTTCCTGACATTCAGGAGCGATACTGTTCACTTCCTGGTATTCAGGAGTGACACTATTCACACTTGGTATGCAGAAGTGAAACTGTTCACTTCTCAGTATTCAGGAGTTACATTATTCACATTTCCTGGTATTCAGGAGGGGTGCTATTCACACTTCCTGGCATTCAGGAGGGACGCTAGTCACATTCCCTGGCATTCAGGAGGGACGCTAGTCACACTTCCTGGCATTCAGGAGGGACGCTA